CAACTCTCTCTCTCCCTCCCTCCCTCTCTTTCTCTCTCTCTCTCTCTTTCTCTCTCTCTCTCTCTCTCTCTCTCTCTCTCTCTCTCTCTCTCTCTCTTTCTCTCTCTCTATCTCTGTATGTGTGTGTGTTGTGCACAGAAACGGATGAGAATTTCCGTGGTAGTTATGAACAGTATGGCACATTATCACGGTTTATAGATGTAATAGCAAGTGATCAGCACCGACCACCTTGGAGAAGTACTATGTTAGTTGATGCCATTATCACTGATCGTAAGTAATTACCGTCATCACCACTACCACCTGCTGAGATGGAGTAGCCTAGACTGCCTGTGCAGTGACGTGTGAACTTCATTTGTGATACATGTGTGCAGACTGATGTATGCTGTTGGAATGCTAGATAACTGGCTCAAGGGGATGTCTGCATCTGCATGTTCATGATTGTATTGTATGAACAAGTTTGTCCGTGATGCACATGGTTGTAGGTTGTGGAGGTCATGTGTACCTCTAGCCATGCACTTACTGGAACGTACCTGTAGTAACTACAGTCCTGCTCGCTGAAAGCCCATCGCGTGAATCAAGTATGCACCCTGCGCCAGTTTACATCCCAGTGTACGCAGGTCTAGCACAGCACCCGGCATGGCATTGAATTGCTTGGTCGGATTTCATTGAGCAGCACTGTACTTAACGATTGTTAAAGATGTGACACCCACTGATGCCTCTGCGTTGGTGTGTATGTGTGCGTGTGTGTGCGTGTGTGTGTGTGCATGCGTGTGTCTGTGTGTGCGCGTGTGTGTGTGTGCATGGGTGTGTCTGTGTGTGCGTGTGTGTGTGTGTGTGTGTGTGCGTGTATCACTTCAAATAGCTGTATGGTGTAGACCAGGCTGAATAGTGACGGTCAATTCTTCAGCCTTGCAAGCTGTTGAATGGTGCAATCCCAGCACAAGTTGCTATGGCTTCTGCCGTAGCATTGCTATCATCGCCTCCGGCGATGGGCGTCAAAGGTCAAAGGTCAAAGGTGTGCGTGTGTGTGTGTGTGTGTACTCTATGCATTCAGCTCCATATGGTATACGGGAAGCTACAAGGAAGAAGGGCTCAGAGCAACAGACAATCAAGTATGGTGTAGAGCAACTAGACGAGCCACTTTCAGCGAAAAGTTACCTTAGAACTTTCTTAAAAAGTTGGCGATCATGTCGATATATGACGTCCTTGAATTTTTAGTGGCAAGTGCAGTGCAAAGAAACCTTGCACTTGCGACCACAAATTTCAATGATGTCATTTTTCGCCAACTTTATGCAAGATCCAAAGTTTGTTTTCGCTGAACACAGCCCATATTTCTTATCTGTGCTGTGTTTTGGAAAATTGTATTGCTATTTTTCATTGATTGGTGCAGCCCAGAGACCGCTGTTTTAGAGTCTTGTGAGGATGCATGGTTATGATGGACGGCTACAGTGGAGGCTGTGCATATGTACTGTGTTCTGGACACACACACACACACACACACACACACACACACACACACACACACACACACACACACACATAGCCCCCCCCCCCCTCACTCTTCTCGCAGGTGAATCATAGCTAGCGCAATATGGTGTTCTCAAAGCCGTTATTACTGTAGCCGGGCTTTCATCATTTCATGTCCTTTCCACCTGCGCCTATTCCTTGGCAATGTGTGTGAAGATTTTCCTAATTATTTCCCTCTTTTTGATTAGTGGGTGGTGATGTTATGCGTTCTGTCCTTCCTCCTGTCACTAGATACCAGACACCTGACTTGGTGGAGGATCTGCTGGGATTTGCAGCACATCACTTACTCCCCGGTGGTCGGCTGGTATACTTTCTACCAGTTATCATGGCTAGGTTAGTACTACTACTACCGACTACTGTGCTACTGTGCTCACTCAAAGCTTTATTCGGGAAAATCCGAAATTGTGATGCAAAATGTGAAAACCAAGCGGATTAAATAATTGCCAAAATCCATTATAGGAACCGATAAAAAAATAAAACAAAAAATGTGTTGGTGTGCTAGTGTAATAGTGTGCTAGTCACAGTAGTGTAGTTGATAAGGGGCCGTGTGCTTTATGTTCTACAGCTGCAGTGGTAACTTTGGTCTCCCTGTGTGTTTTCTGGCCGTAAAATGCAGAGCCGGGCCACAGTTGCGCTGTTGACACGAGGTACAAAAGCACTTTGCATGCGTGCAGCTTTCCCACAACCTTGGACACTGCCTCCCGACTCTCTGGCCGGGATTGTAATCCGTTCCATTAATTAAACCAGGACCAAGCAGATCAATTCCGGCCTGAACAAATTTCCCCTTTGCCATCGGAGCGAGATCCTTATCACAAACTGCTCCCAATCACAGGCACGTTGCTTGATGGGTAACAAATTGCTGGTCACTCCCAGCAATTGGGATTCAGTGGCCGGAAAACCTATTTCAAAAGCTGTGTAGTGTAGACCGGGCTGAATAGTGGCAGTCAATATTCTGCCTTGTGAGCTATTGAACGGTGCAATCCCAGTCCAAGCTGCTGGGATTCTGTTGTAGCATTGCTATGTATCATGATAGGCGCCCGAGGTGGTGTGTGTGTGTGTGTGTGTGTGTGCCCCCTCCTGCAGTTTTGAGCTGGATGATGTTCCAAAGCACCCGCAGTTCCGCTTCATCAGCGCATCACCGCAGTTAATGCGTGCTGGTTTGGCTCGTGTTCTGGTCACCATGGAGAAGCTTCGCCAAGATCAGGTAATGTGTGCACGTTTTTAAAATACAACAGTAAGTGGTCAGCTCACTACCGCCAATGCTCATTCAATAGGTTGTATTTGTATTTTGTATTTATGGATTCTCTACAGGCCTTAGCCTAAATCGAGGGAGTCTCCGTTGTTGTGGGGACATAGGGGGCATGGCTGGATCCTTGCAAATACGCTTTGGAATCGTGTGTGGTCATCTGTAAGGGGCACACACCTGTATGACGGGGGCTCAGACATCTTGTGATGTGCCCAAGAAGTTGCTCTGTTCAAGTTTCACTATGCACGATCCTGTGCTGAATATGCATGGTGGTTTGCTTGCTGGCTGCAGGTACCAGTGTCTGATGACGTATCCTGGAGAGAGCAATGTCAAAACTTGGAGCCAGATCTACGAGATGAGTACTACAGCAAGCTAGAAGCAAGGAGTAAGGAAAGAAGAGAATGCAGTCAATCACCGGTTGAACACAAAGGAAAAGTAGAGGAGGAAACTAAAGATGAGGGCGCTGCAAGAGCAGAAGCTCCATAAAATGCAGTCTCATTCTAGTTGAGTGAACTATAACTGAACTATAACCAACAACTGTACTGGTCTTTCAACTCATTCTGCCTTCATACTGTCTAGACCAATCTTGCATGCATACATTGCATGGCTATGCATGCAGTGCTCATATATAATGTGCTGCAGGGTGTGTGCTGGAAACCTCCCTGGGTCCTTCATGTCATTATTTTACTTTAGTAGTAGCAGTAGCTGTTTGTAACTACCACAAAACACATTGGAATCTTTCTCTTTTCATATTATTTCTGTGAGAAGGCTCAGTCCTGTCAGGCACTTGCAACAATATTGTGAAACCACCATGCATATCCAGCAGAATGGCGATCTGAAGACCAATGATCATCTAAACGTATCCTCATCATAATAAATATATTATACTTTAAATTTGAACACAAAACAAGCCTAAATTCATATAATAAATTAATGAAACACATGATGTGTGAATGAAATTCTAGTGATGTTTTAATTTTCTGCTGCAGATGACATGACATCTGTTTGTCTTTGTCTTGAATCCTAGATACCCGGTAGTTGCCAGTACTACTTGCTATGCTCACACATGCTATGATGCATGACCACTGGTTCCCGCACGTACGAGTCGTGCAAAGAGAGCAAAGACTTGTTGCTATGTGCCTGGACGATTCGATGGCTGTACTGTGACAGTAGATAGCATGGTGCGATGTTAGCCATAGGAAGCAAACCAGCACTATGATGCACACATGCGGCTAGGCTAGTTGTATGTTCAAGTCAGGTGACTTGGAGATACGTGTGGCGTTGTGTGTCATTCAAATCTTGCTGTCGGAGAATTCCACCACATCTTGATCAAGCTGCACCTGACCAGCTAAAGCCTTCACGTGATCTGCATTCCTGCTGCTGCTACTGCCGCTAACATCCATGTTTAGCCGAGGCGTGTAGCATTGTCTTTTTGCTATTTCAGTGGGTGTTATCAATACACCATCTTTCTGCTGTTGTAGGTATGATCGCACAATGAAGTCGTTCAGTTCATAGATTCCACCACTGTTTGACAAGGAGAGATAATCCTCGATCTGGTGAATTAACAAAGGACACAAGAATGGGAAAAGTTAGTTACTAGAAATTTCCTCCAGAACGGTGTACCGAGAAGAATATGTCTATCCAATTGCACTGCATGATACCAGAAGGAAATGTATCCCTTGTGCACGGGGACATGCGCGTGCACACACACACGCACGCACACTGCATCATAAACCTCACCTTCATCCATCTACAGTCACTGATTTCATGCTCGCATGGCTTAATGGCAAAGGTTGTTGGCCGCATGTGGCATGCAATGTAGAAATCTCCACGAGAAAACTGGTACTGGAGAATGTGACGCATTGACACAATGGAGATGAACTCTGCTCGGATGCCTGTTTCTTCAAACACTTCACGCGCCACTGCCACACCGATGTTTTCACCTGCAGGCATGACATTGTGAGCAACACCACATCATCATGGGGAGATAGGTGGATGTGTGCGTAGCTTGTGCAAACAGAAGTAGAATAACAGAGGGTGAACACTGAATACTGAATAGTACAATGTCATGTACATGTATGTGCACTCTCATCAAGCCACGGTGAGTGTTTTCTGCATATGTGTGCCTTTGATCCAGAACCCAGGTTTGTAACACACACACACACACACACACACCCCTCCCTCCCTCCCATGTGGGGTTCAAGTGCTAAACCCAACTTTGAAATCGGTGCACTTGCAAGGAAGGTGTCTATCCACACGACGATGATGCAGGTATATTACCAAAGCAAAACAGAGGCCGTTCTATCAGCTGGATACTAGTAGGCCTTTTCACAGAATTAAATACTGTTAAAAAGTCGATTTGACAGATCGTCTTGTTTTGCGAAAGGATTATTTTACGAGGTAGACCAAAAAAACCATGATTAGTGACGTGTCATCTCTGCAGGCTGGGAATACCCCAACATTACATGTACATCATTATTACATATTACTGATATTAGTGAGAGTAATGTATGATACGGTGCTGGCAGCTGACAGCTGTCCCTACCTGGGTCCATCATTCCACCGGGCAGCTTCCATGCAGGCTGTCTAGCATATTTATCCTTGATCACCAATATCTGATCCTGATCATCCACAACAAGGCCAGCAACACCTGCACGTACACCCGCATTAGATACACATGCGCATACACAGTAAAACCTGGTGTAAGCGATCTCTGGGTTTAGGGACCACCTGCTCTTAACGACCGTTTTTCCATGCACCGACAGGTCTACACAGACACTGTGGGACCTGGTTCTAAAGGCCACCTGGCTTTAGCGCCCCCCCCCCCCCCCCCCCGCGCTTTTACTTGCACCGTGGGGTGGGGTGGGGTGGGGTGGGGTGGGGTGGGGTGGCCGCTTAAACCAGGTGTTTACTGTAGATGATTGTAGCAGCAGAACTGCACTAATGCGGCTACATTGGTAAGCGCAGCAATTGGTTAATTTGGAAGAAGGTACAGTGCAGCACACAGCTGAGGAATGAATAACTAGTACACCATGGTACACGTACGATGCATTTCTCACTCCCAACCAAAAATACCTGTGTGCCCATGTAGAACACCGGTATCTTACATGCACTTACTGCACTTACTGCATGTCAGTGTATTGTACATATAGAACTAGCTGTGCCTTTCGGTATTGAGCACTCTACTGGACAGCCTCAGGGAACCTCTCCGTTTGGACAGCCTGGAACCCGCTCTCTGTTTTACAGTGTACATATATGCAGTTGGATGGTAGTGCTACAGTACTGTCGGCCAAAGAACGGAGCGCCGAAGAACGACCACTGTCGACCAGGCTAGAATTTCATCAAGCACAGCACATCAATGTATACACGGTGACTCAACTGCGCATACACTGTAATGCATGAAAATAAGAAGGGTCTAGGTTAGGAGGCTGATCCCCAATTCTTCGGCGACCGACAGCACTGTAGCCAGGAACTTACCAACATAGTGTGATGCATAGCCAGGCAGGAGATTTGGTTCATCAGTGGGCAGCCATTTCGTCATCATGACATAGCCGGGCTGTGCGTGGTGGATTGTGAAGCCGTGCTGGAAGATGCATTCAGCGGCATCAGAACAGTCACAATCAACCAAGGTCAACATGACAAACATACAGAAAGCGAGCGACCTGAACTGTTCTACTTTGCGCAGTTGCGACTTGTTCATGACCAGAGCTCAGAAATAGCCTACTGCTCGCATCACCTCACCTTATCTGCAGTCCGTATGCAATAGGAGTTTGCAACGCCAATCTTCAGCCACACACCACGGCGCTTGCCGACTTGCCACTCTTCAAGAGACACTATAAAAACAGGGACCACAGCACAAACCCGTTAAGCCACCGAATGCCGTAATCCTGTGATATACAATACATGTACACCATCCCTTACATCATAACTGTATGGTGATGCATGGGAATAGTTCAGGATGCATTCAAAGTGATTCCCAGCTACTAGTACCTAGACTTTACATACTGTAAATATACAAAATTTCGGCGCTGCAAAATTTCGGCACTTCACGATTTTTGACATTTCGGCGGCGATTTATTTTCGGCGTGGGGTAGAGGGCATGGTATAGTGCGACATATGCTGTGAAAAATTTCATCGGCGTTTTAATTTAGGCGTTTTGGGTCGGTGCCGAATATAGCCGAAATTAAATAGCTGTCGAAAATTTGTATATTTACAGTAGCTACTACCAGCCCCTGTACACTAGTAACTAGTGTCACGGCAGGGCTGGTGTGCAGGTTCAAAACACTGTGTCCCATCGACCTTTTTCTTATTTCCCGCTAACTCCAGCTCAGCCACTGACACATGTATGAAACTTCACTCCTCAACTCCAACGAGAGAGCTTGGAAGCTCAGTGCCCTACGCTATGCTTTGTTGCTTAGCTCATCGTGCATTTTGTTAGAAATGATGGAAATATTTCCTGGGACCGGCGCTGACTCTGCCAGTCACTGGCGTTCTGGAGTCGACGGGATGTCTGTCCTGACGTTTCCTGGGACCGGCGCTGACTCTGCCGATCACGGGCGTTCTGGAGTCGACGGGATCTCTCTTCCGACGTTTCCTGTGACCAGCGCTGACTCGCCCGTTCACGCTTATTTTGGAGACGACGGGATCTCTCCTCCAAAGTATGTTTTTGCTGACGCATCCTATCACCTATTCGGAAACTAGCGTCCATTCTAACTGCATTTCCTCCTCGTCTCCCTATTTCTTTCCAGAAAGTCTCCCTATACATCAGGGAGTCGTATACATAATACGACGAATATTGTGGTTAGCTGGTTGCGGCCAGCTAGCTGTGTTTGATGGTACGGCACGGTACGGGACAGATACGGGAGCCAGCAAATACTGTGGCCAGCTGTTTGTGTCCAGGTACGTTTGATGGTACGGGACAGATACGGGAGCCAGCAAATACCGTGGCCAGCTGTTTGTGGCCAGGTACGTTTGATGGTACGGTACGGTACTAGACAGATACGGGATAGCGCCAGGCGTGACACAAACAAACAAACAAACAAACACCAAATTAAAGCTGTGTGGACCTTGGCTAGCGCCAGACGTTACTGAAGTAACGTCTTCTGCATAGCTACGGGAATAATGGTCTCTTTACTGTTAATCGAAGTATATTATTCCGCCAAATGTTCAGGCCTGGCTCACCATCGTCAACTAGTCAGGATCACCTGGTTCCTCGGCATGTCACGAGACTGTCATTCTACACCCAGCACTGGGAATATCTCAACACACGTACGGTACGAGTAACGCTAGAACATCCTGCAAGAACTGAATGCCTGGCAGCAAGTCCCAAACAGAGATTGCAATTGGTAACCATTTACCGGCCGGTGATCATATCATAGTGCATGATGCTGGGTGATACGAACTACAGGTTGATGAACTTTTAAGTTTAACGCTTGAACGCGGCAGTGGCCGTAGCCTATTGTAATCATTGGATGACCAAAGCTGCGTCAGGTAAACAGTAAACAGTAGCTCTGCAAACCTCGAGCAAAGTTCCATCAACAACAAAATTAATAACGTCATTGCACATTAGTCAGTTTCCGTATTCGGTACTCATATGCGAATCATGTACAGGTCAGACCTCGCTATAACGACCCCCGCTATAACATAAACCTCACTATAACGTACAAAATGTGAATGTCCCTGCCGAAACCGCATCACTTCCGTACAAAATTTCCTCGCTATAACATAATCCGCTATAGCGCAATTCTCGCTATAACGCACTATTTGCTGGGTCCTGGGCGCACGGAGACCTCAGCATAACGTAAAAAGTCGTATAAAAATGACTATGCACACGGCATGCATGCCTTCTCGCGACGAATTCGAGACTGAGCCGTCCACCTCGGAAGCAGAGAGTAGTAAAATACCGGTATTTTACTACTCCCTGCTTCAGGTCCTCCACATCTTTGCTAGTCATCATCATACCTGTTGTAAAACGGTACAGTTGTAATCAGTAAGTGAAGAGTGTCATTTTGACCTACATATTGCATATTGGTGCGCCCAACTCACTATAACATAAACCTCGGTATAACATAATTTCTCCCATCCCCCAGAGATTACGTTATAGCGAGGTCTGACCTGTAGCTTACTTTTCAGGCAATCTTCAAACAATGCCTCAGCTGGGCATTCCCTTGTCAGATCCACCACAGCTCCATTGTACCTTCACACAAAAAAAATTACAAACCAGGAAAACATATTTTCCGGTTCCGGCATTATCGATAATTTTTCACAGAACGAAAAAGTTTAGTTTTGAACTTTCGGCTAGACTAGCCCTGACTGAAAGGAATCATGATTCTGTCCCTTCAGGAAATCGCGATTCCACGGATGCAACAAATTTCGGGATTTGGTCCAAATCCGCAATTTCCTGCAAATAATTCCGCAAGTTCTGCATCTTTCCACACTTTTCGCCGCATTTTTGTTGTTTTATGCCGAAAATTTTTCCGCAGGGACAGAATCTTCGAATTATTCGAAGATTCGAAATACATGTATGCAGACCGGCTAACATCATACAAACCCCAACTGCACACATGTGCAAGCGGCTGCCGAAGTACCATGCGCTCACAGAAAATCCCGCTTCGTGTGTTCTCCGCTATGCATGTGCATCTTTCTCCCCGGTGCAGAGTGCAGTTGTAGGTGCCTAAATGCAATGCCAATAATGGGTCTACAGTGCACTTCAATTTAATCTCTAAACTTTAAAGCAAAATTCAAATTTGGTTTTGAGGTTTTTGAGAAACTTTTTTTATATATTCCGGTCATTGGCCGTCATCAGTGAAATATCTGTTCAGTACCTTTCCCACGAACACAATGAATAGCACAGAATGTGGTTGGGAAAGGTGCTGAAAGAACCACAAAGGGTACTTGAACGAAAACTGTGGACATTGGTCGCAGTTGAGCTCGTAGATCTACTCACCAGTCAACTTCATGGGGTAGAACGGATGCCATAGCAGCTAATGCTTATGTCGCGTAGGTCTGCGTAGAGTCTACAAACACCTACCACAGTCACCTGGTCACAATCCGCACTGCAGGATATCCGGATGATGGAGAACTTCACCCGTCGATTTTTTCAAAACAATGCCCACTCGCGTGACTACTAGTACTACACAGGTCCCTTTTACGTCTTTTCGTTCTCAGCCCCACCAGTGCATGATGCAGTGTAGATGGGCAAAATGGTCACTCTCTCCTCAAGTTCTCCGGTGAAACGAGAACTCCACGTCCCTGATTAGCACAATTTCGCCATGAACAAGAACATTTTGTAGTTGACTGTTTTGAATCATTGGAATGTCGCCTCAATCAAAAATGATTGAAATCCAGTCCAGCTAGCTGGCCACTGTAGTGCACTGAGATGAGCGGACTGATCATACTGATACAGACTCATTGGAAAGGCTTCCTGTCTGAAGCCTTTCCATGCATACTGGTACTCGATGTTCCAGTTTTGTGACACGAGAATGGCACGAGAATTAGTGTACCGCTGAGTGTACCGCTATACACGTGGTCGACACTTAGTCGACACCTTGTTGATACTTTTTTGACACGTGACCCCGTCAACGGTCTGCTTTGTGCCAATGACACTCGGTAAACGCCGATGTCGCGTACGACAAAGACGACTATCCCGTACGCGAAATAGTTGAGAATTGCATGACGTGGACCTGACGGCAAGGACAACTGCGAGGAGGCCCCTTTCGGTACCCCTGACGGGAAGGAGAACTGCAGAAGTCGACGAAGTCGAACGAGGAGGTCCCTTTTCCGTACCCCATACTGCAAAGTGCCATTGATGGATACCTTTTGCACCTGGAACGACCCCTTAAACGCTGTCGCGGCGACTATCCCGTACGCGAAATAGTTGAGAACTGCTGACGTGGACCTTTTGCACCTGGAACGGCCCCGTAAACGCTGTCGTGTCGGCGGAGTGAATGTGCAGGGTACTAGGGTGAAAAGAATTGCTGCAAAGACGTCCCCTCTACTACTAGGCTCTAGGCCTTTGCCTTTGGAGACATCGTCGGCGAACTGAATGCGCAGGGCGAAAAGAATTGCTGCAAAGACGTCCGCTCTAGGCCTTTGGAGACATCGTGGGAACTCCTTCCGGTACTATACAAACTGCTGACGTGGCCGTGGACATGTACATGGAGAGTCATGGTGGGACTTCATGTACATGGATACATGGTGGGAATTCCTTCCGGCACCCCCGTACCGCAAAGCCAACGGTGGGGAAGGAGAAGTGCAGACGTGCAGGAAGAAGACGAACGAGGAGGAACCAGGACGAGCGAGCAATGGCAGGACTAGCTGGACCGTAAGTAATAGCTGAATTGTGCATGACAACTTGACATCCATGCGGCACTCGCCACTTGCCACTGCATATTTCTTGTCCACTAACAATGTCTCTCTTCTGCCCCCTGTGTGTCCACGGCCCTGTTGCTGAATTGGCCCGATGAATCGAATGTCTTCCGCAGCTGGAACGGCCCCGTGAACGCTGTCGCGTCGGCGACTGAATGCGCAGGAGGGAAATATTGCTGCGAAGACGTCTCCTCTAGACGACGGTAAGGCACCCCATTGATATGTTGCCAGTGTGTGCCAGGGTATCGCGCGATGGTGAATGAGGAATGATGAAGGGTACGGTGGGACTGTAGACCTGTTACCTTCTACTAACACGTTATCAGGTGGAGAGTGTCTTGTACTCACGTTATCAGGTCGAGAGCGTATTGTAGTCACTCTCTCTATTCCTGTACTTCATTACGTTGAAGGTGTACGTATAACTTCTCAAAAAAATTTAATGGTCTACAGTCGTGTCGGAAGGGTACGGTGGGACTGTAGACATGTTACCTTCTAACACGTTATCAGGTGGAGAGTGTCTTGTACTCACGTTATCACTATATCAGGTCGAGAGCGTATTGTAGTCACTCTCTCTATTCCTGTACTTCATTACGTTTCAGGTGTACGTATAACTTTTCCAAAAAATGTAATGGTTCACGTCTTCAGATAGAGAGCGTATTGCACCCACTGTCTAGTCTCTGTAGTGCATTGAGATTTTGTTGATCGAACATGAAATGGATACACAGACAAAGCCAGGCCAAGTACATGGCGAGATGTCGCCAGAAGAACGTCTTCAGGTAGAGAGCGTATTGCACCCACTGTCTAGTCGATTTTGTGGATCGCACATGAAATGGATACACAGACAAAGCAGGCCAAGTACATGAGAGAGTGGACGATGTGCAGATCGACACGGCCTGCGGGTACTTCATTAAAGTTACCCGTGACATAACTAGGATAAAAGTTAATCACTGCAAAAACATTGCCAAGTATGTGAGCACTTTGGACTTGACAGAAGAGTGCACGGGCGACGTTGACAAAACATACTGCGGTGACTGTCACTATCATGACAGCAGGGCACATCGCACGCAGCATCGCAGATCGTGTCGAATTGCGCATCATAATATTGCAAAATTGCTCCTGTGCATGCAAGTGGATTTCATTGCACTTCTCAGTTTGGGAAATGCTCGATTATTACAATTCTGCGTGTGAGTGCACTAGCCCTGAACAGACATGTAGGTGAACCGTTTGTGGTGTCTCATAGCCTACCTCACGACCTTCTGCTTTCTTTCTTCATCACTTGTATCTTGCAGGTATATCATCCCGTGACGACCACATTGAAGTCTGAATTTGAAGTGTGAAGATGCTTCAGCAACCACATTGTACTTTTCCATTGCTTTCATTGTGCTTCTACTGTGCATGTGTGTAACTTGTGGGGTAAACATGTGATGACATTGTATGCTGGCGACACGGTCAGATGTTCATGCGTCTAACGTGCACCTGCATGTTATGCATTGAAAAGGGTTTGCCACTTGCGATCCTGGGACGAGTATCAGGTCCGCTTTGTCCTGTGTGGGCTGTATCAGATTGCTGTTCACTTCTCTATCTGTTGGATATGTGACTTTCTGCAAGTTTCTGGTGTATGATGGCCACGTCCTTGCTTGTCACTTTGTATGATATTACATTCTGTATTCGCTGCTTCCATGGCATGGTCTGCAAACTACAATCCTTGGGCAAATGTCATGTTTGCTATGTTGTGCTTTGGCCGTCAGCTTGTATACACGCTGTAGTTGAATTATTTTTGTTTCACAACTGACTTCCTCAAGTACGGTGGCCACTGCTTTGCATGGCATTATACATGAAGAATTTCCTGTTTGTGCGTATGTGTGCGTGACCACGTGTGTGTGCCGTGTGCATACACATGTTTGTGTAGTTGGGGTGGGGAGGGAACGGAAAAAGAGCTGAAATTATCCATATAAAAATCGCTCTGTGAGCGGTTCTGAAAAACCTTTACTGGTACTGCCCCGTCGTAAAAGTAAGAAATTAGAACTGGCCCATTGTCCCCCCAAATGCGAACTGATCCACCTAAATCGCGAATGACGGGACCCGAACGCACCAGTAGCACGAGGTTCCTACCTGTGGATGCAGATGGGGACGTTGGTCCGGACCATAGGCCATGTACTGTACTAGCGGTAGGCTTCCCTATCAAAATAATAAATTCTACTGCTACTACTGGTGTTACCCTATGATAATTGCCGTGATCCTGTGCCCTCCCGACCTCGTGCTACTGGTGCGTTCGGGTCCCGTCATTCGCGATTTAGGTGGATCAGTTCGCATTTGGGGGGACAATGGGCCAGTTCTAATTTCTTACTTTTACGACGGGGCAGTACCAGTAAAGGTTTTTCAGAACCGCTCACAGAGCGATTTTTATATGGATAATGTACATGTACTTCATCTACGTAGATCTACGAGACTCTAATACTTGTAATAGATCTACGGAGTACAGTCATGTAGACTACTACCGGTACTTATACATGATGTAGTATATGAGTAGACCTACATGTACAAGTCATACAGTTTTTGTAGATCACGTGCTGTCAGGAATCATTACTACATAATCATTAGGGAAGATCAGTCTGAGCCGGTTAGATCCGCAGAGTATGACTGTGACACCAAAAATAGCAAGGAGCTAGCTATGTAAATAATTATTACTATTATATCATGGTAATTACTCTTGGTGACACGCCAGACTTTTTGATTATAAAACACTCTGTTGACTTAGTTTGACTGCTCTGCTATGTATCAGTCAGGCAAAGCCGCAAGTTGACATCCCCACGGCACAGAGTCGGCTTGGAAATACAATCGGTCGTTGCAACAAGCCGGTATGCAATGCCAATAAGCTAACACCAAGAGTATAATTATGCCCCTCCCCCCCCCCCCCCGGGGGTTATAATAATTATACTCTTGCTAACACTGAGTGGAGTACACCTGTATGTAGTTGCTGAGATAAGCTTCGTTCAAGTCAGTCGCAGACAATGCCAGTCAATACCAAAGCATTTTTTTAAATGCTTTTTTAACATTTACATTACATTTTAATGCCTCGGTGCTGGCTGCAACGTGGAGAAGCTCCTAGTAATGACAACTCTTGAAGAAGACAAAGAACGGCTGAAAAGAAGAATGGTGGTGATGACAACTTGCCGCTGCTCACACATGCTGTGATGCATGACCAATGACAATGGTACCTGCACTACTGTGGCGTAGATTTATGAGTAGGCAAAGACGAGAAAGACATGCACTGGCGGTAGTATGTCAGCACGGTTCGATCACGGGCTGCACCGTGACACTGAGTAGATAACATGGTAGTGTGTGCTACTATGATGTTAGCCATAGGAAGCAAACCGGCAGCAGTATGATGTTAGCCATGGGAAGCAAACCGGCAGCAGTATGATGTTAGCCATGGGAAGCAAACCAGCACTATGATGTTAGCCATGCACATGGCTAGGCTAGTTGTATGTTCAAGTCAGGTGACTAGGAGATACGTGTGGCGTTGTGTGTCAGTCAGGCCCTGCCTTCAAAGGATTCAACCACAATGTGGCGGCATTCGAGGTCATCGTTATTACCAATCGATCGACGTCAGACTTGATGGGACTCTGCGTTGCTGCTGGCATCGCCTCTTTCTCCACTTTCTCCACTTTGAACTCTGGTGTGTAGAATCTCGCGTTTGATATTGTATGGTGTGTGCTCTGTAAACCATGTTTCTGTTGATTTAGATATGATTGCACTTTGTATTTGTCCTGCTCCTGGAGTCCATCACTCTTCGACATGGAGAGAAACTTCTCGATCTGGTGAAATGGCAAAGGACACAAGAACACACAAGAAAATACAAGAAAATACAAGAAAATACAAGAAGACACAAGTTGTTAGTTACTTACTAGTAATTTCCTCCAGAATGGTGCGTTAAGAATAATAATTGATTCTGTCTTTCTTATCATAAGTCCACCTCATAGCAGCAGAAGAAATTCATCCTTTACACACACGCACATGCCCCCCCCCCACACACATACATGTACACACGCTTGTTGTTCACTGCCAGAACTGGTATGTGGGTCCGCCTGGGAGAAGGGAGAGAGCCTCAAAAGAAATCTTAGACTTGAATATCACTCAATTGGCTATTGAGCCAACCAATGGTCCACACTACGATGAAGCCTCTTTAAGAAGAATCATGACTGATAAGACAAACTTTGCCTTGAAAGGAACTAGCACTCATAACTCCACAGATAAATCCGCACTCTGTATTCACTGGGCATACAGTATGGATAAGAAGAACCGTCCCATTATTTAGAACAAATACCATCAGTCCCTTGGTGTTCGTCCTAAAGATGTGTTCACTGTACTTGAAATCCCCAATCCCTGGGCAGACTAGAAAATGACCTCAGGCTCACAAGTAGCTATACTCACTGCACTGCGGAAAATGGGTAAGGACGAGGTGGGCAGAAAAAAGGCGGCTTGACGGCATCAGGTATCAGTTTACCTCTGCCCAGTGAAGACAGTGCTTCACGCTAGTGTGGGTCAATACATCTCAAACAGACAGACAGAACTACATACACACACACACACACACACGCACACACGCACACACACACGCACGCACACACTAACACACACACACATACACACACGCACGCACATTGCACCATAAACCCTCACCTTCATCCATTTACAGGCATGGATTTCATGCTCGCACTTTTTAATGGCAGAGGTCTTTGCGCGCAGGTGGCATACAATATTGATATCTCCACGAGAGTGCAGGTAATCGGGAAGATGACGCATTGACACAATGGTGATGAACTCTGCTTGGATGCCTGTTTCTTCCAACACTTCACGGGCCACTGCCTCGTCAATGTTTTCACCTGCAGGCATGACATTGCGAGCAACACCACATCATCATGGGGAGATAGGTGGATGTGTGCGTAGCTTGTGCAAACAGAAGTCGAATCATGATCTGAGGGTGAATACTGAGTAGACATGTGAGAGATGACTGTGCCCTCTCATCAAGCCAAGGTGGGTGTTTTCTGAATATGTGTGCCTGGAGGTATGGTCCAGAACCCAGGTTTGTAGCACCCCCTCTCCCCTTCTCTCTCCCTCTCCCTCTCCCTCTCTCCCTCTCCCTCTCTCCCTCTCTCTCCCTCTCCCTCTCCCCCTCTCTCTCTCTCTCTCTCTCTCTCTCTCTCTCTCTCTCTCTCTCTCTCTCTCTCTCTCTCTCTCTCTCTCTCTCGCTCTCTCGCTCGCTCTCTCGCTCTCTCTCTCTCTCTCTCTCTTTCTCTCTCTCTCTCTCTCTCTCTCTCTCTCTCTCTCTCTCTCTCTCTCTCTCTCTCTCTCTCTCTCTCTCTCTCTCTCTCTCTCTCTCTCTCTCTCTCTCTCTGCTGTATCTGTAGGTCATGTGGCAGTAAGTAGCCCTTTGCCAGTGTAAAGGTTTAAACAGGTGCGTATGCCTGTGTATTGTAAATACTAAATACCTTATTTTGAATAGTTTTGCAAAGGTGCTAGCTGGCAATATCACCCAACATTGCATAAAGCGGGATTCCCAGAAGCCTTTTTGCCATGCGCGATACAACGCAATCTGTGATGGCGCACTCGCATTTCGAAATGGTGGCTTGGTTCAACTTTTACAAATCTACAAGCAAATCTTGAACCTTTTGTACAACTTTTCTACAAATGAAGGTAAGGTCAAAATCATACATCGCACCTCACGTCACATCGCGTGAGCTGCGGGATGGATGCAATTTGGGGATGTCCCAGTCTTGCGGCCGTTGCATCGCACAGCAGATCACAAAAATGCTTGTATGGATGATCCGGCTTAACGGCGTGACAGTAGTGCATTCTAGAACGCTTGCAGCTAGTCCTACCTGGGTCCATGGCTCCACCGGGTAGCTTCCATTCATTCGTGTAAGAATATTTGTCCTGGATCAGCAAGATCTGATCCTGATCATCCACAACAAGGCCGGAAACACCTATGCATACACCGCATTACAGATACATACACCGCATTAGAGATACATAAACATACTTGCAGACTACCGATGCAGCCATATTCATAATTGGTAAGTTAAAATGGTTACCAATGGAAATTGTTATTCGGAAGAGCCGGTGTACCATGTCAAACAAAGATCCATTCAGTTACACAGCCGCCGTGATAACGAACTGAAAAACTGGTACATGTATGATGCATTTCCCACTCCCTACCAAAAGACCTGTGTGCCCATGCAGAACGCTGGCATCTCAAACTTACAGCACATCAGCTAGACAGTACATGTTGCGTAAATTTATATGCAGTTGGATGGTAGTACTAACCAGGAACTTACCAATATAGTGCGATGCATAGCCAGGCAGGAGATTTGGTTCATCGGTGGGCAGCCATTTTGTCATCATGACATAGCCGGGCTGTGCGTGGTGGATTGTGAAGCCGTGCTGCAAGATGCATTCAGCGACATCAGAACAGTTAAAATCAACCAAGGTTGAAATAACAAAATACAGAAAGCGAGGGACTTGAACTGTACAAGTTAATGCGGTTTCAAGTTTCAACTAACATGTTCATGGCCAGTGCTCAGAAATAGCCTACTGCTTGCATCACCTCACCTTATCTGCAATCTGTATGCAATAGGAATTTGCAACGCCAATCTGCAGCCATACACCACGGCGCTTGTTGGCTTTCCACTCTTCAAGAGACACTATAAAAAATAGGGACCACAGCACAAACCCGACACCCAGATGCAGCACATATAAACCGGTTCATTCGGCAGCCTTGGAAATTAAGCCACCAGATATCTAGGCTTTGCCTACAGTCATGTAGTTGCTGCCAGCCCTCAGCATTACTAGTAGTTAAACACTGTGTTACGTCAAACTTGTCAGGATCACCTGGTTCCTGGGCTTGTCAGAAGAGTCCGAGTTAAAGACAGTCACCAAACACCCAGCACTGGGCATACTGGTATCTCCAGACTGTGACGTACCAGTAACACTAGAGCATCCTCAGCAAGAACTGCAACCCTGCAAACCTCTGTCAAAGTGTCTTTGAACAGCAGATGGCATCACTGCACATAGGCCAAGTTTCCACACTCGTACGAGAACCGTGTGGCTTACTTATCAAACAATCTTCAAACCGCTTCTCTTCCGGGCATTCCTGTGTCAGATTCACAGTAACTCCATGGTACCTTCACAAGAAAATCAGTAAAAAAAAACAGGAAAAATATTCAGGTTTACAATCCATTGATTCTTCCTAAACTGGCTGGCAACCTAGCTTTTTGGTGTACAGTCGTCCATCTTTAAAAAATCGTCCTTTTCATGCACATTGCAGCAGTAAATCAGATTTTCTAATTCAGCATCCTCCCTAATCCTGCAGAATTTCCGTAGCACAAATGGTGCCGGATCATAAAGGGACCACTGCACCAAAGTAAAGTGGTAGATACGGTGAAAACAACTGTACATTCTGCATTGTGTGACACGTGCAATTCTATTTTGTCATATTTGAGGCCCGAAAACTCCAAGGAGAAGAAGTCAGAGATTCGGGCACTCACAAAATTCGAACAGGTATGCCATGGCAAAATATTATATGGAGAAGCAGGCTCAAATCCCATTTTTGTTTCAAGTGGGGTTTAGCAGGCTTTGAAAGGCCTGTGGGACTATTTCGGATGAATGGACTACAGGGACTTGCGCCTTTCTCTGACTACTACAGAGTCTGCAGTCCGTTTGTACAAAGCCGAAGACATCATTCTAAGGGCTTTTGGTGGAGACCAACATCATGCAAACTGCCAACGGTTGCTGAATGGTATCATGTGCCGTAGAAAATCTCGGCTGTTCTATCTACCTATCTATATCATTCAATTCACACTTCAGTTCAGGAGAACTGCATACATTCATTTCTTGTCTCAAACCCAATAATTATATAGCAAGCTTCGCACTGCCAGACGCATAGCCCTAGAGGTTTTTGCTATATAGCTCACAGTCCACTATACTGTCCACTAATCGCCTGCACCTTAAGCTTGCGCTGTTACCCCCTTCAGAGTCGCTCACCGTTATGTTCGGGCTGCCTGTTTCAGACCACCCGCAGTTGCCTGATGATCATGAATAATGCGAAACTCGGACTCACATCGCCTTTCTCTATGATATAATTACTTCAAGTATTTGGATGGAACCATACACGTTTGGGTGGTTTTCATTGACACACCCACCGGTAGCGACTGGACTGAGCAATCCCAGTCAGGGACTCACTCCTGGCACAGAGAAAGCACACCTACGTGTGACACGAGGGGCCCTGCACCCACCCAATCCGATACTTTGCCATGGGTGGAGTGGATCCAAAGGTCCAGAGTATTTGTCGTTAGATTTGGGCTTCTGACGTTATCGCTTTTTTCAAGCCTCATTATAGTCGTACTACTAGTGGCTGACCCTCACATCACTAACACAGCAACAATTACTTCGAGTAGGTGTTCCAGTGATTGGCCATCATAAGCAGCCAGCTCGCTGATTAAATTAGTCTTCAGGGTGCTGAGTCGAATGGTTCTGGTCCGAGGAAGCTGAGCCGCTCCCTCCCTCTTTTTCCCAATCGAATTCGCCACTTCCACCGAAACTGGGTGACTGTGCCCTAGATGGGGATTTGTATGCCATTTTTCACTCAAAGCGCCATTTCGTTCTTGTAAAAGCACAAATGAACCCTATTGGGCCATATGTTGTAGTCTTTTGGATGCTGAGTTGACTGGTTTTGGTCCGAGAAAGCTGCGATGCAGCGGTCGGCCCTTATTCCCAATCGAACATGGTTGGATAATCGGTCACGTGCTCATGCGTACACCAGCCACCTGGCCACCGTGCCTGCAGGCTACAACTTTCACACCAAGATTCAACTGACAGGAAAGTGCCCAAACAGGCTGTAGCGGTTGAACCCTGCAGGCAGGGTGACCAGGTGACTGGTGTACACATGAGCACGTGACCGCTTATTCAACCATGTTCGATTGGGATTACGGGCCGAACGCTGCATTGCAGCCTTCTCGGACCAAAACCAGTCGACTTGGCGTCCACAAGACTACAACATATGGGCCAATCCCGGTCATCTCTGCTTTTATAAGAATGAACTAGCGCTTTTAGTGACATTTTGCGTACAAATCCCCATCTAGTAGGGCGCAGTCACCCAGTTTCAGTGAAAGTGACGAGTTTGATTGGGAATAAAGGAGGAAGGGAGCGTCTCAGCTTCCTCGGACCAAGACTATTTGACCCAGCACCCCGAAGACTGCAACTGGTGAAAATTTGATTTTAGGGTATACTTCCCCTTTAAATGTATCCAACACACTCCAGTAGATAGCGCTAAAAGTGGCTGGGAAAGACGCTGAAAGAAAGACAAAATTAAAACGGTGCTTGAACAAAACAAAACTGTGGAAACCCTTTAAAAATAGCTCTAGTCACTGTACATGTAGATTGTAGATCTACATCAGTACATGTAGATCTGCAGTGGATTTTACATTGTACATGCAGTTCAATCAACACAGTTATAATATCGGTCCATAATCACAGCCAGTTCAGCTACTTACGGGTCACCCTTAGAATGTAGAACGGATGCCATAGCAGCTGTTCTTTTGCCGCATGGCATATGGCCCTGGGTCTCTACAAAGTTTCAGCAGGAATCGAACCAGCAACTATAAGATTCGCAAGCACCTATGTGGACTATTCCGCCACCAGCCTGACCAGGATGTTGATTTGCAAATGCCTGCCACGGTCAAACTCACTCCGCAAACAACCTGGACTGAGAGCTTTCGAGTCTTTACTCCCTTTCGTCGAAATTTCGAAACCAACCACTCGCGCGATTATTACACAGCTCCGGGCGTATAATCTACCTGGGTGTCGACTGAAAAGAGTTCAGCGACCGCTGGAATGCCGGGTAGTAGCTGCACTGTTATTGTAAAGATGAGGCCTGTGACCATTGACTTGATTCTCCTGCTAATGCTAGCGAGCGGTCTAGTCTGTCAGTGTTCAGTACGGTATACAGGCATGTGTAGTAGTAGTGTGCCGTATACGGTAGGAGTACGGGAATTCCATGATCCAGACCAGTAGTCGTAAAAGCCCTTTTTCGACTAGTCAGTAGTCGACCCCTGAATCGTGAATGGGCCATGATCCACACCACAGCCACAGCGGCACAGGTCTGTGTGTATTGAACCAGGTCTGTGTGTGTGTGTGGGGGGGGGGGGGGAGATGTGTCGGTACGGCCGTGTATCATGACTTGTACAATCATGTAGATCTACATGACTTGTACATGTAGCCTATTGAGCATTGTAGGTGCTCGACCTTTGATGTGGATGGATAAGGTGTCATCCTTGTACCGTGATGTAGATCTACAGGCTGTACAGCTAGCTGCACCTACCCGGTGCGGTAACTCCTCCTCAGCAGCTAGCCGGGTCTTCCACCCTGATTTCGGTAAACTTGATGTGGAATACTTGATGTGGAAAAAAGATTGATTTCAACCTTGAACACACACACACCCTTTCCACCCAGGCCTTGGAACTACATTGTAGTCATTGCTTGACGCTAGGCCTCGGCGGACAACACTTTAAAAAATTGCAGGCTCTGCTCGAAAAGGCAGTGAAATAATTGGCAGAACCATACAAGCTTTTGGCGGGCAATTCCTCGAATTCTTTTCCTCCGATTCTTTACCCATATTAAAATGCCAAACATGCAGACACACATGCGCCAGGAAAAGTACTAGATTCTGGGGATTTCCCGTCATGATGACGTTGCAAGTACAAGTGGATTCCCATCCTTGAGGCACAAAGAGGTGTGGCTGGGATATCACCGACCACATGCTCCCGGACGTCGCCCATGATGTTGTGGTAGAGCCCGATCTCCAGCCCGTGACGGGCGAGAGCTTTGCACACCGTACAGCCATCACTGGAGAAGGTGCACGGCTGGATGTGGCTTCCAGAGGAGTCTGGAGAGGTAGGTTTGAGCGAACATTCTTCGATGTTCGGGTGTTTATCCCTTATACTCGTTCAAACCGAAACCCCGCCTCCCTGGTGTCCGTCTATGCCAGACACGAGAAGGAGAAGCGTCGCAGCTATGAAGCACGAGTTTTGCACATCGAGCATGCGTCATTTGTCCCCATCGTCCTCAGTTGCACTGGCGGGCAAGGCAAAGCAGCGAAGGCTCTCTACCGTAGGGTTGCGTCCATGGTATCGGAGAAGACACTACAGGAGAGTCTTTGTCGTCGGTGATTGCCTTTCTTCGCGTTAGGTTGGGCTTTGCCCTCGTCTGAGCAGCTGCCGCTGCCATTCGTGGTCATCGACGTCCAGCCTCTTCCTCTGCCGTTGATCAGAACCGGTCAGCAGCTTTGGCTGTTGCGCAGTGTGGCTGTTGCGCAGTGTGGCTGTTGCGCAGTGTGGCTGTTGCGCAGTGTGGCTGTTGCGCAGTGTGGCTGTTGCGCAGTGCCAGTGTGGCTTGGCGTTGTGAGAACTAACTACATGTACTTGCACCATGTCCCCATTGTACATAATTATACTTCCTGTGAAATAGCCGTCTTTTCTTTTCTCTATTTATTCTCTTTACCAGGCGTGGGCCATCCCCTGGACTATCAAAATGGGTGCCTTATTATTTTTCTGTTTCTCAGTCCATTGTACTGGTAAAAAAAGTCTGCACAGCAGAATAGCCGCGAGCATCGAGTTTGAAGTGCGTATTTTGGTATACCGTTCAAATAAATTGTTTTGCTGCAAGTACAAGAAGCGTGCCAGGTTCAAGATCAACTACAGGCCAACAGAGAGTCGTGGGGGGGGGGGGTACCTCAGGCCAAAGCCAAAGGCCAACCACCACTGACTTGGGTTCACACCATCAAGGACTGCACTGGTCATTCCACACATACTCTTGCTCACATCGCTCATGATCAGTGAGAACTCAGACGTCGACGGTCGGCATAACCTTACGATGCTGGATGAAGATAACATGCTCCAGGCATATTTAGGCATGTTACAGGAAATAACCTGGTGAATGTTACCCCTTATAAGCCGTGCTGCCATGGTGCCAGAGTCGTTGTAACGTTGCAAAGTGCAACAAGAGTGCAGGGGCACAGCACAGTATCACTATCATTGGCATAATTCCAGCATAATGTAGCATAATCACTGGCATAATGGAAAGCATAAATCAGCAATTTACCGAGCATAATCCGCCAAGGTCTACATGCAGGTCTCATGCATTGCAGACAGACTACAGTCCTGCAAGAGGGGGTTATGTACTCTTGGTAATAGTCACTAGCTGCTGCCCGGTGTAACCGCGAAAACGGTACCTTCGAGAAAACGGTTCCAGGGCCTAGGGTTAGCAGGGATACACCGGTACGCGGTACGAGCAACCTCCAGGTTCCAGCCTAGCCGCGTAAACGGTTCCCTGCATCTATGGATCTCTTGGAACCGTTTTCGGCGGATGGAGTCCTCACCGCGAAAACGGTGACTTCCACACATTCCCGGCATCTTTAGTAGCCCTCTTGCAGTCTTGGCACCGCTGTCACGGCTGTCACTGCGGAGGTAACTCAACCAATTGAACCATGTCACATCAGACTCACATGTCAACTGGTTACTTTTTCCTGTGAGATTACACAGTGTTAGCCCCTATTCCAGGGGCTAACACGTCGTGTTGTTGTCCCGTCAGTCGCGTATTCGTTGTTTGCTCCTGGATGTCTTCTTGATACTCAGTCCTCATAAACTTAGTAGCTTCTGTTCTACAACAGAGAGGTTCCAGGCTGTCCAAGAGAGTGCTCAATACCGAGTGGTAGAGCTGGTTCAAACAATAGGAGGACAGAGGAAGTGTTTTTACTCAGAGTTTCACGCACTAAGCGATCATCAGAAAACTGTTTTCTGATGATCGCTTAGTGCGTGAAACTCTGAGTAAAAACACTTCCTCTGTCCTCCTATTGTTTGTAGCTTCTGTTCTAAATTGTCCTTCTTTCTTCTCTTTTATACTCTTTTTTTCTTTCTTTTCCAACTTCTGCCCATGGCATCCCTCTCTCAGCTCGTCAGCTGACAACAGTTACTGTCACCACCATGACACTGTCGTGAGAAGGTGCTCTCTACAGCTGTAGACGAGGTTGGTGATGTTCCGACGCGGCCATGGGTAGACCTTCACCACGTCAGAATACCCCGGCTACACGTTGGCTGTATTTTATTAGTACAACTCATAAATATAAATAATTTAAAAAAATTGTTTTGTTGTTGATGTTGTTGTTGTTACGTGCTCAGATGGTCGCGAGACCCGGGGGCTCTACAAACCGTGGATGGTTGTAGAAAAGTCACTGTTTCCGAACACGCTGGTCCTCCACCTTGTCACATGCTGTCAACCAACGACATGTTTCAACAAAACAAGGTTTATCTAATGCCTTCTTGCTACAGTACTATGTATCAGGGACTTCCTACCAGTACGATCACGAGTAAACATCCATAATGGTTCATGTTAGATAGGAATACATACATTATAATGACATGCACATGTACATGACTTGTTACACCAGCCCCACCTTCTATCCTCTTTTACATGCACTACTAATACTAATACTAATACTATACTATACGCTGTATTCATGTATTGTTCCAACACACTTTCCAGGTTGACCTTAGATAGCACACTGGAGACCTTTTGATGCATTTCACTTTCAGCCGCCCTTTTAGTTATTTACACATACTATTACTAACAGCTGTACATACATCCTAATGCCCCTTTCAACAGTTGTCTACCTGGTATTATTGCACACCTACATGTACATGTATACGATGTATTGTACACCCTTCTATTCAGTTCTTCCTCTAAACGTATTCCGCTTGCACAGGTGCCATGTCCCGACCTTTCCCATTATTCTGCCCACACAATCATGTACCTTGTAGTTTGACCTTTCTTCTTACTTCTCTCTGCTCTACGTATCCCCTGACCATAGGCTAGCTTACTTACTCACCCTATAAAAGCTGCTGCCTTTCTAGTTTCCTGGGGATTAGTTTCTTGCCGATTAAGACCAGCTCTCCGCAGATCAGTTCCCTGTGGATTAGTTTCATGCTAGATTACAGTGTACTACCTGAGAACTCTTTCTCTCTCTCTCTCTGAATAAGTGTGCAATTCTGTAGGATAGCCATTATCCAGTACTGTAACCGCTTGCTCTACCGACTGAGTGAAACCGGGACTTAACAGTTCAGATGGTCGCAAGACCGGGCTCTCAGTGACCACGGTGTTGGTGGGAGAAAGGTCATTGTTTCCGAACACGGTTAGGTGGTCCTCCACCTTGTTACATGCTGTAAACTACAACATAGTACAAGTACTAGCAAGAGTACTCAATCTTCAGCAAGAGTATACACTGTATATGCTCCCTGGAGCTTATTTACTCTAGTCTTGGTAGTACATACATCCTGTACACACACCTTGTACACACTCTCTCTAACGGTCTCTAGGCTACACTGCAATTGATATACATTAGCTCAAATTTTCGGGCACGGCCCATCATCAGGAATAAAGGATGTATGAATTCAAGTATTGGCTACAGTGGAGTCTCCAAACCTTGAGAAAAGTTGGTATTACTTACATTGCTATTAGTAGTGATACCCAAGTACATGTACTTGAACTCCAGTTCCCCCCCCCCCCCGCCCTTGGCGGATTATGCTCGGTAAGTTGCTGAATTATGCTTTCCATTATGCCAATGATTATGTCAGTGATTATGCCAGGGATTATGCTGGAATTATGCCAATGATGGTGCTATACTGTACCCTTGCACTCTTGTTGCACTTTGCAACGGTACAGGCACCAGGCACCATGACAGCACGGCGTATAAGGGGTAACATTCACCAGGTTGTTTCCAACCATTACATACGTACATGTAATAGACACTGGTGGAGGTCAGTTGGAGATTCTGGAGCTCTGGATGTGCTGGTTACTGCTTGATTTGC